CCAACCGATGCGATTCGATAATGATATCTCAAGGGGAAAGGGGTTGGGGGTTGGGGGGGGGGGGGGGAACTCCCAATTCTCACCACCACAACAGCTCACACAAAGACCATTTCTCTACATCCCAGACAAACACACGACACAGTCATCTGACTTGAGAAGCAAGACCCACTTACCCACAGGGAGTCTGCTCTGTACTCTTCAGTTTTCTTAGTATCATCTGACTCGAGAAGCAAGACCCACTTACCCACAGGGAGTCTGCTCTGTACTCTACAACGGAGGACACAGTCGTCTGAGTCAAGAGCCGAGATCCACTTACCCCATCCATATGCTGCTGTGCTTTCTCCGCTTCTGGTCTTTCTGCGAACTCCACGTACCCAAATCCTTTTGGAAGATTGACCTGATAACACAGACTTGCCGAGGACAAACAACGTAAGAACCACAACTTTGACATCAATCACGGCGTGCAGCATGGATAGCGCCTTATACACAGGCTACCGAAGAAACACTTACAGTCAAGAGCGCGATTGGCTGGCAAAAACTTCCTCAACTGGAAATCAAGATATTCACATACGAGCTCAGCAGCCTAATCCATCCGAATGCTAGGCAACTATGGCTCCATTACAAACACAAGTGACCCCTCACATACACACACACAGAGGAGGACGGAAAGGTGAGGCCCAGGTCACTGGGGACGAATACACCAGCACGCAAAGGACAGCACCGAGAGGGACACACTTGGGCCATTCTTACCATTACATCAGAGCAATAGAGCGCAGATGCACAGGTGCAGCGGAACATACAAGCACACACACACACACACACACACACACACACACACACACACACACACACACACACACACACACACACACACAATTGGAAACAAACACAATCAAGCAAAAACACACAAATGCATGTACAAACACACAAATACACACAAAGCCAACTCCAGTACCCATACGCTGCCTAAGAAGTGTCTCCGGCCAGCTCATTCATCATCCTAATGTTCCTCCCAACGTCCTGCCGGACGCAGAAAGCAGTCAAGAAGGCAAAAATATACACATGAAGCTCGGCAATAACATTACCACACGACATTTAATAATGTGGAGAAAGGGCATAGCTTTGCACTCTCACCGTCCTGTCGATTGCAAGCACCACGTTGACAACCTTTCCATAGTTCTCTGCAACCAAAATAGCGAGTAGCAAACACACAAATAGTTTCAGAGTAAATCTTTCAAAAGGATCCATACAACACACAAGACTCTCTCTCTCTTTCTCTCTCTCTCTCTCTCTCTCACACACACACACACACACACACACACACACGTGTACACACACACATAGCGAGTAGCAAACACATTGTTTCAGTGTAAATCGTTCAAGGGGCCATACAACACACAATAATCTCTCTCTCTCTCTCTCTCTCTCTCTCTCTCTCTCTCCATCTATCAAACTATAGCAACCTTATAAGCGCATGGGTGTATGATAAAAGCACACCAACATGTCCCCTGCTTCACTTTAAACCCGTGTTGCAAGGTGTGACTGCCTGTCCCTCTCCAAACATCCCTTACCCTCACCTACTATTCAGTAAGCAAACACACAAATTGTTTCAAAGTAAATCATTCAAGGATCCTTACAACACACAAGCCTATCTCTCTCTCTCTCTCTCTCTCTCTCTCTCTCAAACTATATCAACCTTACAAGTGCACGGATGTGCGATAAACGCACACCACCATGTCCCCTGCTTCTTTTTAACCCCGTGTTGCAAGGAGTGTGACCGCCTGGCCCTGTCCAACCATCCCTTACCCTCACCTATCATCCATCCTTCACTCTCCAGAATATGACAGGGCAACTCGGGCTTCTTGCCAAAATTTTCACGCACATGCCCTTGATTAACATATTCTTGAAACAGGAACCCACTGCGCACCACCTTCTCCTCTAATCCATCCTTCGCTCTCAACTCTCGCTTTTAGGGACAATATCAAACAGGAATTCAAGGTACTCACCAAAAATTTCACGCAAATGCCCTTCATTGACATTCCTCGTAAGACACCCGACATGCAAAACCCTTGACTCAGGAGTCGGAGTCCTCGCCTTCCTGCACACATCAACAATGAGTACCATCAGTACAAGATACTGACACGCGGTCAGCAAATACATCAGTTCATGGAAGTCTTCACCTTCATAGACCGCACAGTGATTATGGACATAATGTATTTAGGGCAACTTTCACAGAATGCCTGGTCTCCACAAAATGCAAGTTTCATTCTGAATTATCGATTTGCCGATTCTCAGACTTCCTCTACATTCTGTACTCTCGTCTTTAACAAAACCCGCAGCTCCTAATTCTTCTCCTTATCACACAGCCTCTTCTAAAGGGGTTATTCCAGGTTCAGTTTGTCTCCCTAACCCTACCATTGGCTTCTTCCTCGCCATTTTTCTGGTTCATATATCCAGGTCATGTTTCTGTCATTAACCCTACTGGCAAATTATTCTCCCAGTACAATGTCCGGGCGGCGGGAAAAATGTAAGGGGGGGCATGATTGTGTGTGGGTGTGCGTGTGTGGGTGTGGGTGTGTGTGGGTGTGGGTGTGTGTGGGTACGAGTGTGTGTACGTGTGTGTGTGTGGGTGTGGGTGCGGGTGTGGGTGTGGGTGTGTGCGTGTTTGTGTACAAGCCCCAAACCCACCCCAACCCCCACCGCTCACGGTGTTTGACTTTTTCATTAATTCCAAATGAGCTAAAAAAATCAATTACGGGGTCTGCGCGAGGTGCGCAGAGTCCCACTTTTTTTTCTGCGTTAAACCACCAGTACCTCGCCCTGCTTGGAAAATCCTTCGCGGCCATTAACGCGCCGCGTCGGGCGGGGTACCCACCGACCGGCGACCGGTAGACCCAAAAAAACGAACGCAAAAAAAAAAAAAAAAAACGGCTCCGAAAATGTAAAGTAGCAACGTAAATGTAAAGCAGCAACGTAAAAGTAACGGGCGCGGAGGGGGAAGGGGGGGAAGAACGAGAGAGAGAGAGAGTGAGAGAGAGAGAAAGCAAGAGGGCGTCAGCCAGTGTCTGACTCCGAGTTTGGCGGCATCAGACACTGGCTGACGCCCTCTCTCTCTCTCTCTCTCTCTCTCACACACACACACACAACCAACCAGCGTTGAAATGAGAATGAATCTTCCGCGTATTCTCGTTTGAACGTTGGCTCAGAGAGAGAGAAAGAGAGAGACATTGAAATGAGAATGAATCTTCCACATTATCGCAGAAGATTCATTCTCGTTTGAACGTTGGCTCAGAGAGAGAGGGAGAGAGAGAGGGCGTCAGCCAGCGTCTGACGCCGAGTTTGGTGCACCAAAGTCGGCGTCAGACGCTGGCTGACGCCCTCTCTCTCTCTCTCTCTCGTTGGGCATGTCTCATTTCGTTTTCGTTTGGTTTTTTTTTTTGCAGAATGTTGTATGTTTTTGTGTTGTTTTTTTTTTCCCGTTGTGTACTACCGGTTGTCCGAGGCTCGGCAATGACCGGGCTACCGGTAGCCTGAGCCACGGCCCTTGACAACCGGTAGGTACTGGTGGTTTAAATCTCTGAAAAAGTCGTTGTCTAGGACCCCGGACCATCTCCCAGAGACATCCGGGCGAGACGTCTCGGGATCTGACACCTGGCAGCGTAAATGTATACAAACATATGACCAAAAATTTTCACTACAACTGGCATAATTGTTCTTCTCCCCATCATCCTTCCTTTCATCACTCCTCGTCTGCACTCTCATTCTCCTTCTTGTTCTCTCTCTCCTTCTCTTCCTCATTTACCTCCTTGTTCTCTCTCTCCTTCTCTTCCTCATTTACCTCCTTGTTCTCTCTCTCCTTCTCTTCCTCATTTACCTCCTCCTCTTAAACTGCCACTTCACCCAAACGAGAGTACTGCTCTCACTAGTGACCGCAGTAACAGCATTTGGATTTGGTCCTTGTCCTGTAGGGCACCCAGCAGTCCCCCCTGAAAAGGTGCAGTTCCCCCCTCACGAGCCTTGGAAGGTTATAGCTTCATCAAGGTAAAGTCTGTGTGAACTGGTGCTTTAATCCCTATCCTCATCCTCCATACGGTCTCCCTTCACCACTGGCGAAATCTCTCTCTCTCTCTCTCTCTCACACACACACACAGTGATTGTTCTGGAAACTTGTAAAATCGAGATTTCTCCATCTGGAAACCTGCCAAGCTCTCTCTCTCTCTCTCTCTCTCTCTCTCTCTCTGTGTGTGTGCGTGTGTGTGTGTGTGTGTGGAGAAACAGAGAAAAAGAGCAGATGGAATGGAAAGATAGAGGGGAGATAGTGGAAGATGGAGGCAGGAGTAGCGAGGGACAGTAACCTGAGAGGAGAAGGAGCGGGGAAAGGAACGAGGAGAGGAGCCGGGGGAGAGACAGAGAGGAACGAAGAGAGAGAAAGGGACAACGCAAATGAAGAACGAGGAGAGGAGCCGGGGGAGAGACATGGAAGAGGGAGGGGGAGAGAAAAAGGAAGAGAGCAGATGGGACAACGCAAATGAAAAAATTCCAGCAAAAGAAATGGACAGATAGTGAAAGAGATGAAGGCAGCGACGGCAAGGGAGCGTGAGAATGCGAGGCGCAGGATGGAATGCACATGAGATGGACTCCGCAATGGACATCACAAGCACCCGCACCTTGCGGGAATGCCAAACGGAACGGCAAGGACACAAAATGAAACAGGACAAACGGAACGGAGAGGGACAGACAGAACTCAACGGGGCAAATGAAACGGAACGGGACGAATTGAATCGGGATCGGGACAGATGGAATCGGGATCGGGACAGGTGGAAGGGAATGGGATTGACGGAAAGAAATGGGACAGACGGAAAGCAACGGGAACGCACGAACGGACACGGCAAAAGGAACGGAATGGGGAACCGGACAGCGGTAAGTAGAAAGCGGAAGACAAAGAAGAGGCAGCAAAAATGGGCACGGCAATTGCTGTTGTTGGGGTTTTTTTTTTTTTTTGCAAGAAAAGGCATTCATTCCGTTAACACCTACACGTGGCAGTTTTGGGAGTACGCTGAAATGGAACCAAAAAACTTTGACATCCGAAGGTTTTTTTTTTTTTTTTTTTTTTTTTTACTGAGCAAGAGCAAAATGTTAAAAATAGACAGAAAAGGCAATTCAAACAATGAACAAAAAAGACTTAAAAAAAAAAAAGAGGACAAACCCTAAACCTGAACAACACATATTGACGAGGACCGACCGACCGACCGGTCGGTCCTCATCAACACGTGTTTTTTTTTTTTTACTGAGCAAGAGCAAAATGTTAAAAATAGACAGAAAAGGCAATTCAAACAATGAACAAAAAAGACTTAAAAAAAAAAAAGAGGACAAACCCTAAACCTGAACAACACATATTGACGAGGACCGACCGACCGACCGGTCGGTCCTCATCAACACGTGTTGTTCAGGTTTAGGGTTTGTCCGCTTTTTTTTTCAACGTACTGTCGTTATACCTGTATTTGGGCTACGTTTCAGTCTAAGTACAGAAAATATTGACCGTGGACGTTGTATTCCGGCGGAAGAAGGTAGCAGTCTGCCAGAGCTTCTATGCTCCCGAGACGCGTTACCGTTTTTTTCCCTCGAACAGAACGCACGGTCATTCTCGCTGCATCTAGACTGAAAGTTAACCTCGTACATACAGCTTTAGTGACCGTTAACCGTACGTATGATTCAAACGTGGAACTAGAGCTACTGGGGGGAAGACGGTGTGCTGGGCAGGCAGCGCATCTGGAGGAGAGACTTTTCTCCGAATAGAGCACACCGTCAGTCTTGGAATAGAGCACACGGTCTACCTCGTCTTGACCTCGGTTGCAGATCACAGTCATAGTAAATAAAGGAAGAGGGAAAGAGAAAAATGCGGAAAACGATGGGCTACGGTGAAGAGGAGGAGAAAAGGTAAGAGGATGTGGAGAATGAAGAGAGAGAGAGAGAGAGAGAGGAAGGACGAAGAACAATTACGGCATACTCTTACACCAACTCTTTTAATTGTTCATGGACGTAAATGCGGTCAGATGCATCCAGCTCTGGACGTAAATGAGGCCAGAAACATTTAAGATAAGAGTAAAAGAGTACATGTGGGAATACCCTAAAAGAAGTTTCTTCAAAACGCGACAAGAGTGAAATCCACGAAGATAAAGGGCAAGAACAAGAAAACCATGAAAGGGCAAGAAAAGGACCCAAAAAAAAAAGAAAAGTGCACAAAAAAGAAAAGAGGGGAAAAAAGGGAGAACATGAAAAGAAGCAGGGAAAAAATAAAGGCAAAATGTAGGGAGAAAAAACGAATTAGACAGAGGATATGTGATAGGTGTAACAGACCTTGGAGGCGACACGTGTTTCTTCCTGGGCGAAGGCGACCTTGCTTTCTTAATAATAACAGTCGCAGGGCTGATGATAAAATCCAAAAGGCAAAAAAAAAAAAAAAAAAAAAGAAAGGAGGAAAGACAGAGTCAAATAAGGAGACGAAAAAAAAAAAAAAAAAAAAAAAAAAAAAAAAAAAAAAAAAAAAAAAAAAAAAAAAAAAAAAAAAGACATTGCCAAGGAAAAGAAAAAACGATACGGGAGAGATAAGAGAAACACATTCCCTGCTAGTAAAATAAAATAAATCCCTTTTCTGAAATAATAAATAAAAAAATAGTTCTCAAAACATCTAGGCTACCAGTGGACCCCCGGCCGGGCCAAAACGAAAATGAAAAAAATAGATATATATATATATCGTCACAAACAGAACTGCCCGGTAAACCGTAGGCAGAGAGAGAGAAGAGGACAACAAATATATATATATATTGGGCAGTTCTATTTGACGATATATATATATTTTTAATTTGGTAAAGAATTTCGATGTGACCCTGAGGCAAAAGTTGTTCAGTTTATTATTCTGCATCACATAGTTTTTTTTTGGCTGCGACCTTCCCTGGTCCTTGCACGGCCGGGCCGTCCGGGAAAATAGGCTAACCCGCGCGGCCCGGCTGGTAGCCTGACAAAACAATAAAACATAATAATAATAATTTTTAAAAAAACTGGAGAGACTCTTTAAACAACAACAAAAAAAGTTGATGAATAAATAATTACACGTTCAATTATAATGAATAAAAACAAAATCTTTAAATTCATGAAGTAATACATAAAACTTTAAATAACTGGCATTCTCTTACGCGCTCTTTTTCCTCCCCAGAGAAACACTTAAGCGACAGATGAGAGGGAGCCATCTTGAACAAACAAAAAAAGACGATATTTAATGAAGAAATAAATAACTTAAAATAAGCATTCAAATAAATAACTAAACCTTTAATTAATAAATAATTTCAAGAAATAAGCATTCAATTAATGAATAAATAACTAAACCTTTAATTAATAAATAATTTCAATCAATAAATAACCTTCAAATAACTGACATTTTCCACCGGCCACCCGCACAACGCTCAGTGCTTGAACAAACAAAAACAAGACGATATTTAATGAAGAAATAAATAAACATTCAATTCACGAATAAATAACTACACCTTGAATTAATAAATAATTTCAATAATTTCAATAAATAAAACATCACAAAGCGCGCCAAATGCTTTCCAGTCACAAAGCGCGCCAAAAATTATTTCCAGTCAGAAAGCGCGCCAAACTGCTTTCCATTCACAAAGCGCGTCAAAAACAAATTCCAGACACAAAGCGCGCCGAAAATTTTTTCCAGTCACAAAGCGCGCCAATTTTTTTTCCCAATCACAAAGCGCGCCAAAATGTTGTTGTTTTTTCCCCCACAAGTACACCGCCCTGGCAAAAACTTTTGAGGTCGAAATGAGTCATTTCTGGAGCATGGTCCAACTACCGGTAGCAACGGCATAGGATAGACAAGAAGGGTTTATGAAATTAAAATAAAAATAAATAAAAAAGAAGAAGAGTCTGTGCGGCAGTTGAGCGACCTAAAATCCTGCCGCGCAGAACTCGTGATCCCAACCCACGGTCAGTATTTTACATCTTTTACCCGAAAAAGTAAGGAGATCTTTGTCCCCCCCCCCCCCCCCCCGGCTCTGATTAGCACTAGGCATGCCAGTGCAAAGGAAGCTTCCCGCCAAAATCTTTTCAATCCGTTGGGGGTATGGCCAACCCCAAAAGAGGTTGGGGTCGGCCATAATAATCCCCCACTGGATTAAAGATTTCAGTCTTTTGCTTGCACAGTTGAGCACTTATCTCAATGGGTGGGTGGAGCCCTCCTTCAATCACGGAGTGCATATATCGTCACAAATTTATCAGAGCGCAAATGCGAAAAAAAGAAGAAAAAATTCATTTTTTATCTTCTTCCTTACAAGACTCCCCCTGTTCATAAAGAACCTCTTGCGTACAAGGCCGCCCACGTGGATGTAGGTTGAGCGGCGGCTGCCCCCACCCCGTGTGTCATATCGACCGACTTGCACACAGCTAAAGGGCAAAGAGGCAAAGAAAAGAGGAAGGGAACAGCCAAACATTACAGAACAGGGGGCAAACGAATCCTAGATGACAAGTCCCACATGCAGACACCGCCCCCGACAGCACAGGCCAAATATATCTATCATCACATGAATATCACAGCGCAAATGCGAAAAAAAGAAAAACAGGAAAATTTGAATTCAGTTCTTTATCTTCTTCATTATAACTCCCCTTGTTCAGAACCTCTAGCGTACAAGGCCGCCCACGTGGATGTAGGTTGAGCGGCGCCTGCCCCCACCCCCGTGTGTCATATCGACCGACTTGCACACAGCCAAAGGGCAAAGAGGCAAAGAAAAGAGGAAGGGAACAGCCAAATAAAACAAAACAGGGGCCAACAACCAATAGCACCAAAAACGCATCCTAGATGACAAGTCCCACATGCARGCACCGCCCCTCCTTCACAGGCCAAACGACAGGACACGACCACCCAGGACAAAACTCTTGTCTGCAAAATATATTGTCACTGTGAATCAGAGCCCCATATATATCGTCACATGAATATGAGAGCGCAAAGGCGAAAAAAAGAAAAAAAAGAATGACTTCGTTTTTTTATATTTATATTATCGTCACAAACAAACAGATATATCTATAGATATAAACAGAGCTGCCCGGTAACCCGTAGGAAGAGAGGGAGAAGAGGACAAATAAAATAAGTGATATATATATCGTCACATGAAAATGGCGCAAAAGCGAAAAAAAGAAAAAAAAGGAAAAAAAAATTGTATTCGTTTTTTTTATTTTCTTCCTTACAGATGTAGATACATACAGATGTCGTATAGATACCTAATGTCCTCTTCTCCCTCGCTGCCCACGGTTCACAACGAATACATACGTAATATACATCTACATACATACTGATGAATATATAGCATGGATGTATACACATGCAATTCCTGTTTGTCGCTATATTTGTCACACTGTGAATCGGAGCGCAAAGGCGAAAAAAGACAACAAAAAACAAAAAAAGGAAAGTAGGAAAAGCTCCGCCTGTTCATCCCCTCTTACGTACAAGGCCAGCCACGTGGAGAGAGCGAGAGAGAGAGAGAGGGCGGATGGGAATGGCAGGAGGGAGAGGGGAGCTGAGCGAGAGGGAGGCAAGCAGGCATGAAGGAGAGGATCGACGGAGATGTCCGGGAGAAAGAGAGCGGAAAAGGAAAAGGCATCTTAGGAGGGCGGGGGAGAGAGAGAGGAGGGAAGAAGAGGTGAGGGGGGCGCAGAGAAGGAGATTGTGTTTGAGGGGGAGGGAGTGATTGCAAGTGTTTTGTGAGTTTCTGGGAGTGCGTGTGAGAGGTAAAGAATGCACTTATCTGAGCGCGCTCGCGCGCGTGAGAGAGAGAGAGGGATGAGTCTGAGCAACTGCCACGTGGCAAGTCCAGTTAATGCGATGATATAGGGTCTCGTCAGTCCACTCACCAAATGTGCAAAATGGAGTGTGTATCTTCCCGTAGAACGTGGAAATATGCATTACGTATAGTTTTTGTTACGTTCGGTGAGCGGTGCGGCGAGGTCCTGAGGCGTGTGAATGCTCGACTTAAGGCATTTACCCCTCTCCGATATATATATTGTCACATTGTGAATCAGAGCGCACAAAAGGGGAAAGAAAAAAGGAAAAGGAAAAAAGGGGAAGGGGAAGAGGTAAGGAAAGCTCCACCTGTTCATAACCTCTTACGTACAA